GAGAGAGAGAGAGAGAAGGGGGGGGGGAGAAATCACATCAAGTTTAACACTCCGCGCATCGTAGGACACATAATATCATGTGCACTATAGGCCTACGGTAATCACCACCAGCAGACCAAAAGCACTTGTGGGACGTTTCAAACCACCGGAAACAATCAGAAACACCACTTTGAATTAGATGGCATGGTACAATGTAGAGATCTAGATGTTTTTGTCTGCCTTTTTCACTTTCAGAGATAGAAGAAGACAGAATAACAGAAAAATCTGTGAGTGAAATAATGAAGTTAGGCTTTTTTTTTCTTTTCTTTTTTTTGTTTGTTTTATTTGTTTGTTTGCTTTGGTTTCGGTTGGGTTTTTTTAATGCGCTCCCAAAACAAGTTGTTTTCAAGTTCAAGCTCCACTGGACGGCATGTTTGCAACGTCCCCCAACACTCAACAACTGTCAAACAGAAGGAAAGTTGTAGCTAGACCTGCGCTATAAGACCTGGCTGCCTTTTCTATTCATTCTTACCGTATTGTATTACTAACAACTGAGTTACAGATCATGGAATCAGTGCAAAACATCGGTAAAACCGTCCCCGTCGTTTCATGCAAGAAAAATTCTGAAATGATGCAAACTGAGCCCAGAAATGTGAAATTGTACGATTCTGTTAATTTCAACAAAGAATGATAAAGGAAAATAAAAAGAAATTATGCAAAAACTGATCAAATTTTGCTAAATTATGCAGGGTGCATAGAACCACGGGTAAGGTAAAAGGCTAGGAAAGTAATAAAAGTTGAGCAACACATCGAGAATTTCTCCACAGACAAGACAGGCTACTCTTTCATGAGGTGGGTCTGAAAGAATTACGCACCCCCCACCCCCCACCCCTTTTCAACACCACGAGTACTTGTGGCTTACGAGGGAGATAACGTTTTGTTTTGTTTATGTAAGTAAAGAGATGCACATCGACCCAATGATGGTCATTTAAAGCTGAGAAAAACTAAGACAGTAAAGGTGAAATGGTACGGGTTTAACGCCCCTATCAACACTGTTATGTTATTTAAGAGGCGGGACCTCCGAGTTTAACGTCCATCTCCGAAAGGACCAAGCCAAGTGGGAAATTGTGTGAAGTGCCTTTCTCAAGGACACAACGTCGGACCGAGCTGAGGCTCGAACCCCCGAACCCGCAATATCACGATTATGAGTCCGGTAGCTAGGCTACCGACGCCATGCAAAGTAAGTCAGACAGACATAAACAAAAGAGGGAAAGTCAAGTAGGACGTACCGGGTGCACCCTCCAACCACCCACGGACAGAATGCCTTCCGGAAAACGACACTTTATAAAGATTTAGAATCATCTATTGTGTTCATTTCCCCGGTAAAAGTCTACTTGAAGTACTTGAAGCCCCCTCCTCGTTGTAAATACAAATGTACGTCTCTCGCATTGAAGCCACGACAACCTTCATGATGTGACCCGCGGAGAGTGAAGATCCCAAATGTGCGGAGTATGTCGAGATATTTCCGAATGGAAGAAGAAGACTTCTCCCTTGTCTTCGAAGATATTACTGGTAGCGAATCACTCCCAGTCCTGGCCTACACGGAATGTCAAAGACTGTACCAGTACATGGTGATAGACCTACGTCAGTCCCTCTCTTTAAATAAAGCATTACATCCATAACCATCGTGCAATGAAATTATAACATGTTATATTATATATCATTACATTAAACATCATTACACACGATGTAAATTCCACCAATAAAAGGAGCACATACAATGTATTAAAATGAAAATAGACTCTTTCAAGTCAGCATTTTATTTGATTAACATCAACATCAAGATATACCCGGTAATCATGAGTCGATATTTGTTTTTATGAAGTTGGTCACTACTACATGACCCCCAGTTTTTCCTCCTCGGGGAGAACACTGCCAGACACGATCTACAGGTCGTTTGTGGTAGCTGAGGCAGACGGAGATACTCGATTGAAACACAAAACAAACAACAACAATATCAAACAAAACAAAAAGAACAAAAAA